GCATAACAGTGAAAACGACCAATTGTTTTGGGGGAAAGGGAGTGGATAATTTAACAAGGACAAAAGAGATAAAAATGTTGCAAGAGGGGGTTGATAAGGTCAATGAGTCAACACTTTTGTTCCAGAGTGAAGAAACCAATTCTTTGTTGTACCCATGCACATAGTTTTAGTCTTGTAATGTTGGTTGTACCACAACAAAGAATTCAATGTCCTTATTTTCAGACTTCTGGGTATTAATGCAACAAGAAGAGGAGTCAAGACCTGTCCTATCTGCATGAAGAAGATTGGCTATCGTTCCAAGCAGTGCAAATTTTGTAGCCCTGGAAAGCCTAGAAAGAGGTCAAGAAAATCCAAACAAAGTAAAGAATCTAATCATTTTGATGATGAAAGGGATACATCTGGTGTTGAATTAAATGTGGTAGTGATTGATGGTGAAACTGAGGTGGCAACTTCTGAGATTTCCAGTACCATTCCAGAAGTTATTTCAAAGGAAGTCGTGGAAGATTCTGAAACAGATGCAGCAATAAGTTTTGGACAAGAAACTCAGGAAGGTGATGTAGTTACTAGTGATGCTGTGGGCACGGAAGGACTGGTAGGAAGAAAAAGCTATCACACCAGTCTGCAAGATCTGATCCAGACTCTTCTTGTACAAAATCAAAACAGTAGTGTACTTATACCGCCCACTGAGCGGGTAGAGTCTGATAAATTAAGTATGTCACAGCCAAACACAGATCAACAACAGCAACAAAGTGGCAATGACGAGATAGAACAAGAACAGGAACAATTACAAATGGCAGGTGCCACTGTAGGCAGCCCAGAGAATGCTTATGATGCAAATTCAGTTGCGCTTTTTCTTGGACATTTAGCTCAACAGAATGGTAAAAAAATAAGGACTGCACTGAATCCTGTGATTGACAATACCAGGTCTGCTACAGGTACATCAAGTCTGATTGGAGTCAAAACAAAACGCATTGTCATAGAAGATGATTTGTCAAGCCAGGCAAAGTACAGGAAAATACGTCCAAAGTCAATTGACGAGGGGACAGCAGTCGTGGAAATTCAGACAGGTGTGGCTTCCATTATTGATGAAGACATGACTAATAATGTTGCAGAGTCGAAACCATCAGAATCTCAGTTAAGGTAATTTACAGATGACACTTTCTTTTAAATTTTTTATCAATGTTAGCCATTTGCTCCTGGAAGATCTGATTGTTAATTCTCCTCTCTAGCTGCTAGACATTTCCTTTTAGATTAGGTACAAGAGTTTGGTGTAACAACTTGTAACTGATAAGTTTGAGTATTCTCATTACCTGTTTGTGGGTTACAAGAAAGTGCTCTGAAACTGTGAAATCCAGGGCGTCCAGCACAATATATGCCTTGTATGAAAAAACTAAAATTCCCGAGTTGCCCAAGAGCAGAAGTAAGGCGCCAGGGACCACTGGGTGCTGCTAGACCACAGCCTTGAGGAAAAGTATGGCAACAATTGGGGAGAATTACTAATTGGATCTTGGGAGTCAAAAGGTTGACTAAACCTACCTCAACCTGTATTAAAATAGAACCATAGAGTTGCATGTTAGAATAATTCCAATAACACAAAGGTGGCTGAAGATTATAAAGATAAAATGGTTGTTACTGGTGCTTACATGTAAATCATTGTGTAGCCCCTTGACACCCTAACATCAGTATGCATATTCTCCATACTGTTCTCAATACATTTCTTAAGGTGCTGACAAGGAGAATTTGTGTAATGATCAAGAGCCTTTTAAGTTGGTGATGATTTTCTTTACTCTTGTGACGTTTATGTTTGATTCAGTGGTGCTATTGCAGGGAGAAGGTATAGATGCTTCTTTCTCTTTGAGGTTAAAGGGTTAAAAATTCTTCTTGCAAGAATTTTTCATTTACTTTCAGAATGCTCCCTGGAAATGCAACCAGGAGAGGAGTGATGCCTTGTCAAAAGTGTCAATGTTTAATTGGCTGCCGTTCGAAAGTGTGCAAGCACTGTAAGGCTCTGTTGAACGAGTCTAATCCTCCATTCAAGCGGAACAAGAAGCAACAACACCAAGCAGTTCAGCTTCAAATCCCATCAAATTCAACAATGACTGTATTCTCTGTCAGAAGAAGTAAAGTAGGACCAGATCACAGGTGTTTCGTTTGGTGTGAACGCAACTTCCCAGAGAACAGAATGAGAGATGTTTACTCATGCGACTATCCTCCTTGTGTCACTGCAAGGGAACTGGGCAACAAAACTTCTTCCTTTTTGTGTGAACACGCCAAGGTTTGCCGCAGTCAGGGATCCATTAACAATTCCAGAGTCCTTTATCTGGATCAAGAGAAGCTATCTAGTGAATTTTTTAGTGAAGAGGTTTCCACCTCATTAAAGGATCTAAACTTGAAGTGCAGCAGCAAAAATGTGGCTCTGGTGCAGTGCGTGTCGGAACGAACTTTTGTTGTGGTTGATCAGCTGCACTTAGAGCAGGGTGGTAGCCTGGCTCCAGATCTTATTGGGTTTGTTCACGTGCGATTTGAAAGGACTAAAGTGAATGACAGTTTGAAAACTGAAGTGTTTTGTTCTGGAAGGCCATGCATGGCTTGGAATCCAGTCTTTGGTTGTGTAGTCAATAAAGGAAGTTCTGCACCAACAGTGTGGCGATCACTTAACTGCTTGCACTGCTCTGCATGTCTCTGGGCTATAGCATCTGACAAGGAACTTGCACATGAATTTCAACTCTGCCTTGATAATGTCAAAATGAAAGTCAATAATACTGAAGAGGATTGAAGATATGGAAAGTACTCTGAACTTATTCAACAGTATGCAAGATAGTTTACAAATACTTTGTTACTGTAGATGTTATTATATGATAAGGCGAAGTATAAATGGGTTTTGATTGGCTCTTACCTATGATCTATTTGAGGACAGACATATAAATGATGTCACCTTGAGCAACAAGAACATCATGGCCACACTCAGCTCTCCCTCATGTGGTCCTGTATGTTGTTACTGTTCTTTTGACACCATGGGTGATTTGTTACTGATCAGACATATGGCAACGTGGAATCTATTTGTTAGTAAGGGCTGATAGTTTCTAAAGAAACTGTTTGGGGCTGTGTCGGTGGGGGTAATGAAATAATTTGGATATATCAACAAAGTTGAAATGGTAAATTGGCCACCGTAACCATTACAAAAGCTGACGTTTTGAGCATCAGCCCTTCGTCGGAGTGAATAGCCCTTCAAGTGAATAGCCGTTCGAGCGTTAGCCCTTTGTCGCTTCGACAAAGGGCTAATGCTCGAAACGTCAGCTTTTGTAATCGTTATGGTGGCCAATTTACATTTCAGCTTTGTTGATATATCCAAATTATTTGTTAGTAAGATCTGGTGCCCTAGCATCAGTATGCATATTCTCATACTATTCACCGCTGATGTGTAATTCAATACAACAAATTACCACAGTACAAAAAAAAACAGACAACATTTGCAGGGACTAGATGATTGAAATGATTTCATATGAAAGGGTCAAGAATACCTTGACCCTTTTCACCTTAACTTTAGTATAGGTATTCTCCATGCTCAGGGGTTTCAATAACTTTTTTCAGAAGTAGCTGCTGATGGTGAAGTAGGCTACTGTGCCCAGAAATGGGCGGTAAGACAAAACCCAAACACGAGAGCCTGCTGGCAGGCTAACAGACGATTTTGAAAGGTCTTATTGGTCTTATAGGTGGTCATAGACCAATGGTAACTGGCTCTTATGAAACCACTACATACTGTTTTCTATGTATTTCCTAAGGTCCTGACAAGGCTCCAGTTATTTGAAGGTTAGATAATGCTATCCATTATATAAATCTCTATCCAGTGGATAGTGTAGTATGTTTTGCTATCAGATATCCCCTGGATAGCTATGTATCTGTTGGATGGCGGCATTAGCTGCCCTTTGTACAACTGGCCGAAGGCCTAGGAGGACTTGTAACAATCAAGAGTTTACTAAATTGGTGATCGTTTCCTTTATTCTCATTTCTGTAATGTGTCATTCAGGGGTGATATTGTGAGGAGAAATTAGATGCTAGTCAATCTTAGAGGTTAAAAAGGGTTAAAGAGCTTTGGATATCAAGGAAAACTTGTCCAAATTTCTCAGGTCTTTCTGCAACTTGAGATGTGGCATTTCCTTCCTAACCATGTTAATTATGTAGAAGAAAATCAGTTTTCGGAATTAGGAGATACATGTGTGTTGAAATTACAACTTGTGATGGAGGAACCTGTAATGCAGTATTTGCACAAACTGAACAAACATCCTTTACAAACCAAATATATTATCCTGGCTTTGCTGTTCAGGGAAATTTTGTATGATGGAAACTTTCTTCAAAAACTTGTTGCTGATAGTTGTGTGCTTTGGTTTTGAGTTACCTGTATGTCAAGTTGCAGATAGACAGTTCTACTATTTTTGGTGAAGACAGTCAGGGCCAAGTGATGTAACAAAAATATTGTCCAGAACTGTTGGTACTAGAGTAACCAACAAGCAAATTGTACTCGAATAGTTGCGTAAATTGTACTCGAATAGTTGTTTCAACATTAGTTTGGTTTACTGTAACTGTTATGCATGTACTGGTAACTAGACACGCATTGTCAAAAATGCTGATATTATTTAAAATGTATACATCTTTGAAGCTTCAACATCTCTTGTCCTCAGGAATATGAACTTGAGGATGAAATGCATTTATTTGACTGGAAAGACTTTGGGTTTACATTCCCCACCCCACCCCAGCCCGGCAAGCTTCGAATGATGGTCAAATGCCTGTAGACTGCCAGATTGTTGTGTACTTTGCCTGTTCCATTGCCCTAAAATGGTAAAATGGTGTAATACTGGAATAAATGTCAGATGGTAAACAGTTGTAAGATTTCTTTGTAGAATTTAAGACTCTCCTGTTATTTTCCTATCTTCACTAATATTAAAAAAATTGAAACTGAATTCAAATGTGGTAATGACTGATGACAACACCAAACCCTTCAATCAGTACTGTGATATCTTTGTTTTATCTTGATGAGGAAAGCAAACGGCCACTTTGTTGTGAAAATAACCCCTTGTTATTTTTCAAAAACTTATTAGAGAGGGTGAGTCTTGCATTGATGGTGGAAAAGATGGCCTGTTAGGAAGGCTAGGGGCTATAAAAAAACTTCTATAATTGTTTCTCTTTGGAGAGGAAATTTGATCTATAGGGCCCTGGTTGTGTGAAAGGTGGGGAACACTGTTCACTAGATGAATGTCCATCGGTTGTGTAGCACAGTACATTTTGTTAACAATTATCAACTAACTAGCACCTAATGGTTGGACAATGTCACCCAGCCTTTGAACAATGGAAAAAGATCATGGAATTTTCATAAACTAAAGACTGTAGCAACCATAAGTTTAAGAAAAATATATCACTAATGAACAGGCAAAGTAGAATTTGGTTTTAACAGGAAATTTACCAGCAACATGATGTCAGTGAGGAACCAATTGCACAACAGACAACAGACCAAGGAACTGAGAGTTTCCAACACTTTATTAAGTTAACTTTAACATATAATGGTGGTTCAAATTTACTTGATGTGTTACATCATATTTTCACTCTGAAAGGACTGAAAAGAAATTGTGGGCTCACTGCATGTCAATCCTGGTGTGTCTTTCTTAAAAGACAAACTGACTTAAAATGCAGGCCCAAAAAGCCACTTTTGTTTGGTGTGTTTCATTGAAGATCAAGATTTTGACTTCTTTCAAATTCAAACAATAGAGACATCAGGAAAAGAAACAGGTAAGACCGGTGCATGAGCTAAGACTTGCATTATCATTCCATAGAATTAAATTTAGAAATATTACATTGTAAAGTTACCATGACTTTGCAGGAACAGGCCCCTGCTGTCTAGAAATTCTTGAAGACTTGTTATATGTCAATCCCTTTCCTCCAAAAAGCATCCATGAACCACCTTAGTCACAAGATTTTTTTCCTTTTTTTTTCTTCACTCAAGCCAATCACCATTGAGGCATGGTGACATGGTACCCAATCAAATTAATTTATTAAAATAAATAATACCTCCATTAAAACTCCAACTACCAGGTATCTCTGGATTCTATAGGGGTTTCTCTAGGGGCTGGTTACCAGCAGTCTGTAAGACCAATCACTACTGTCTGTTTAGCCAGCAAGCACTCTTTTTGATGTTGGAAATTGCATTTCTGATATTCTAGATTTAAAATTTTCCCTGAGGGAGCATGCCCCCTGACCCTTACAGGTAAAGGGGCCTTATTACACACCATTCGCAGCAGTTTATAGCAAAAGTTATTGAAACCCCTGTTTCTTTAGGATTGATTCTCATAATGGCTGGGTTGAGAAGTTGCACCCAGGCAGGGAAAAGAGAAATGACTTTCCCAGTAAAATTGCATTAAAATCTATGTGCTTCAGGGATGTTGTAGCAGTCAACTGTCCTACTCAGCTCATGACAATTTTTTTGATAGTCTATGCTGGATTTTTGTAACCCATCACTATTAATTTTAATGCTTCATTTTATCAAAACCCAAGATCTCAGCATGGAACAGACCTTTTTTTAAAAAAAAACCTATCTTAAATAATTTATAACAATATTATCAGTTCTGATCAACAGTCATGTTCACCCCTTGAAACAATTTGCACAGTTTTTATATTTTAAAAATAACCTTCTTTACTTTGAGCAAATTAATAATGTTAACATCTGCCTCTGTCTGAATTCATTGTGATAGCTTATAGGATAAAATAGTAATTGACAATCCTTTTTGTACAGGATTCTTCCAGCATTCCTTTTTCCAATAATTTCTAAGTTGAGCTTGTCAAGCAGTTCACAGAGGTTATGGGAAATCACAGTCTATACTTTGCATGCTGCACATCAGACTCTATTGTACAGAATTTTATGAAGTAAATTTGTTTTCATTATACAGCGACATTTGGTACGCGAGTCACGTTGCTAAAGTTAACCGTTACTAATTAAATACAATCCATCTCCTTTGTTTCTTGAGTTTTCACCCAACATTGTGGTACAAAGTACCTTGTGTGACATAGTGTGACACTTGTGTCACACCATCAAACTAAGCTGGTTTGAATTGATCATTACTGACAATAAGTTCATTGGAGTGATAAACCCTTCACATTATTTTGATTATTACATTTCAACTACACCTTCATTTCTTGGCACAGAACAATTAAATTATTAAATAACATTACAGTTATTGCAGCAGTATCTCACATTAGTCCATAATTTTCATTGTGTGCTAACATTCACTTTCTTCTCCTTCTTCAGGTGAGACAATCAGCTGAGATGAGGCAAACTTTCCTTTATGGATACAAGACGATGGAGGACATTCCTGTAGAAAAAAAAA